AAGATAACTAGCAAAAATCATTAAAAATGAAGCTATGTATTGCAAAATAATTATAAGATGGTACATCAATTTTTGTTAATCCATTATCAGTTGTATTATACATATTTTGTTGCAAAATAAAATATAATAAAATATAATCAGCTTATAAAAAATATACAATTATTTTTTATTATCAAAAAATTAAATTTATTTACATAATTGCATCTATCTAATTTTTTAGATAGTTTAAAAAAATTTAGTCTTAATATAAAACCATTTAATTTTCATTATCCACCTATTGACAAGGTAGTGTCTAATTGTTTCTGTATTTTTACCAATAATGAACATGATCCAGTACCAGATTTACAAGGTTGGCCTAACATTAATCGACTAGAAGGAGATACTAAGTTATCTCGTTTTCCTATAAATAAAAGATATACATAACTAACACGTAATTTTTCAATAAATAAATACTTTTGTCATACTTTATATATATACCTTGTAAAGTTGCATTCTTCAGAAAATTGAGGGAACTTTCAAAGCTCATTTGTTGCAATGGAGATGCTGAATCTTCCATTCCTTTACGACTGAGAGGTTGAAATCTACCATCGAAAGTCATATAATCCGCAATTAAAGACAGATGTCTAGAATCAACTGTAATTCCATACATCTTGAATACATCTCTCACTTCTCTTATAATAACTCTGTTAGCAGCTTCAATACCATATGTTTGAGAAATAGCATAAATATCATTAGAATACAACTTGTTCAAATGTAAAGAATTATCATATTTGAACATTTCCTATATTACAAAAAATATAAATGAATAATAAAATACAAAGTTATGATCACATACGTACAATAATATGTACAATACGAAATTTTTACTTACTACTATATTGATACCATCAGTTTTAAGAATTGTTTCTCCATCATTATTTTGAAATATAAAAGCACGTTTTACACAAGGCACCTCCCATAAAACAATTTTATTTGCAACATTTCTAATTATTGTTGATAAATCCAATTTTAACAACTTAAGAGGTAACTGCAAAAAAAGTTATAGTCATTAACTAATTCTTTTCATGAAAGTGTAGTTTTTTGATGCAAATTTATATTTTTAAAAATATAATTTAAAAAATAGAATACATAATAGATATAATTTAAAAATAGTTATAATTTAAAAAATAGATAGATACATAATTTTATGTATCTATCTACATGTAATATTACCAAATATTATAAAAAACAATATATTTTGGATACTTATATATTTTTTCATAGTGCTTGCACTCTGTGCAATTTTGCACTTTCAAATTCCACATGAATATATAAATATCTATTCATTATGATACCTACCCAAAATTTTAATTTACACCATGTGAATTTATTCTCGTCATAATCGTATTCTATTGCATTACTATACATATTTCGAATATGCTTCTTTCTTTCTTTATTATAAATTTCATCTATAACATACTCATTTTCTGTATCATCTTCATTTTGTTGTTCGTTAGTTTCTAATTTTTCATTTTCATATTCATCATCTTTTTCATTTATATCTTCTATTTCTTCTTCGTCTTCCGGATCTTCATATTCTTGGTTTTCTCTGTGACGTGAAATTGTTCGTAGTAAAGTTGCATCTGCATCTTCTGCTGCTATTTCTTCATCTGAAGACTCGTGCATTTCTCCTAAATTTGAACGTGCTTTCAAGGATTCTGATTCATCAACTTCTCCTTGATCTAATAAAGCATCATCTTCATACATAGATTTCTTTTCCTCTTCTATATGTAATAAAGCACCTGTTATTTTAGAAATTTTTTTAATTTCTCTAAATATTTCTTTAAAGAACACTTCTTCAGTTTTTTTCAATATCTCATGTGGCTGAATGCAAAATTCAGATTTATAAGATTTATGTGGAAGATAATTAATAGTCATAGTATACACTAACTGTCTATGTGGCCACTGTTCCATTCTCCTATGTATAGTAATATTATCTAAAACATTGGATAAAATGCATTTTGTTAATTTCAATTTTAATTTATTTGCGCGTTTTGTTATGTTTTTCAAGTCTTTTCGAAATGGTATTTCCATGCTAGGCGTTTTAATATTTTTCGATGCCATCATAAGTATTTCACGTAATCTGGGTATACCCAAAGTAACATTCATTTCTCCACGACCAGCAAAATGAAAAGTATTTAAAGTCATTTGAGTTGATGGCTCTCCTATTGATTGTGCTGCTAATAAACCTACTGGTTCTCCAGGGGGACAAATTATTTTCATTACTTTCATAGACAGAAGATCTCTTAAATCTTTTTTCTTTATAATGGAATTGCTGGCTATATATTCATCTATTAAATTTTCTAATCGTTCAGAAAGTACACCAAAATCTATATCTTGCCTATATTTCGACATTACTGGATCAGGACATTTTGCACATTCAGTATAAATCCATTTTTTATCTTCTTCACTAGTCTTTATCCACTTTCTCATCATTGAAAGAGCAGCTTTGCTTCTCCCAGAGTTTTTATTGATTTCCATGTACTTCGATTGTTTAATATTCATATTTTCTCTTGAAAATCTTGTAAATGGATTAATTCTCTTTTTTTGTAATGCACTTCCGTTTTTATTTTCCCATTTTTTAATTTTTTTTACTAATTTTAAAATTGTACTCGTATCCGAGTTTTCTTTTAAATATTTTATTATTTCTTCATTAAGAATTACATTTTTATTATTTATTAAGAAACTCAATTGCTCTTTTTTTAAAAAGCGTGAACCTGGTACATCGAGCCCATCTTCTCCATAATAAATTTGTACCAAACTACCATCTGAATCTCGTACTGTTGAATCGTAATTAATAATTAATCCTTCAAGATGTTTAATGAGACATCTTTGTAAATAGCCTGATCTACTAGTTTTTACAGCAGTGTCAATGAGACCTTCACGACCAGCCATACAGTGAAAAAAGAATTCCTGAGGTTTGATTCCCGTCATAAATCTACCATCAATAAATCCACCAGCTCTTGGCGAAGAGTCATATGCAGGGAAACTTGGAAGACTTTTGCCACTGATCATTAAAGGTGGTCTTTTCCCTTCTAATTCGATTTGTCCAAGTAAACAAGATATTTGCATAGTATTTACAGTGGAACCTTTCGCACCAGATTGAACCATTAATTGCAAATTATTATTTGGAAATTTTTTCAAAAGACCAGCTGGCAGACATGTTTGATTTATATCATTAGTATAGACATCTAATGCACTTTTATATTTTCGATCAACTTGAACACGAAATTTAGGATCACTCCAATAAAATTCTTCAATTTTAGATGTAACAGTGTCCATAGTTGTATCATCGGGTAATCCCAGCACTGATCTTTGTACATTTTCTCCAATTTCTCTACATTTAGAAATGATTTCTTTACGTTTCTTATCTGCTTTCTTCAACAATAGAATATCTTCAATACCAAGTGTAAATCCGTTTCTCTGCAAAGCAGCTTGAAATAATTTACCAAAGGCACTTAATAATTTTGAAGAGCATGTTCCTCCATACAATTCAAAAATACAATGTATAAGACCAAATGGAGTCGCACCATAATGTGTTTTATCAAGTACACCACACAACAATTCTCCATTTCGTATTATTACTTCAGCTTCTGACATTGTTTTAGGATCTGAAAATTCAGTGCCACATTTCCAATGCCGTGCTTTTTCAACTTGCCATTCCTTTACATTGATCTTGGCATTTGCCGTTAAATTAATACGTGGTTGATTTGGTGGAATAACGTTAATGATAACAGTCGATATAATTTGTTTACCAGACCACAAAGGTTTGGGTTTTATTATACTGGGAGGAAGAACAATTATATTATCTTGTATTGTAGATAAAGCAGCATAGACTAATTGCATATAATCTTCACGTGAAAAGAATGTTCCTCTCATTGTTAAACGAACACCAGAAACTACATGATCTTGAATGAGACCACTTAATGGGGTACCATCTTTTGGTACAAGGTATTGATTAGACACATTGGCTATATTGTACCCTTCGCTTCTGGCTAGTTCATTTTGGGGATAGTGAGCATTCATTTCATCACCATCAAAATCTGAATTATAAGCTTTACAATTAGCATAATGCAAACGTAATGTTTTTTCTCCTTTTAAGATTCGTGCTTTATGAGCCATTATACTGGGCTTGTGCAAAGTTGGTTGACGATTTAATAATAGAATGTCTCCATTTTGTAAATGTCTATGTATAATTTTAATTCCTTTGAAAAATTTATTCGCTTTGTCACTTGTTGTTAAAAGACGTTTTGCAATAGCTTCTCTTCGAACAATATCTTTACTAGAAATGCGTTGTATACTTCCATCTTCGTGTTCAACCATTACTGCACCAGGATGTATATCAGGACCGTTTAAAACTAGTTGTCTTAACTGTACAACATTCCAAGGTGTAACTGGTGTTGGATATGTTAATTTCATTGCAAATGCTTCAGGAATACCAATTTCATCTATGTTTAAATTAGGATCTGGTGTAATGACGGAACGAGCAGCGTAATTAACTCTTTTACCCATCATATGCATTCTAATAATTCCTTCTTTCTTCTCCATAACTTGTTTTAATCCCAAGCAATTTGCAGAATCTGTAGTTCTGTTCATATCACGATCCATTAAATGATCCACATTTACTTGTAAATTTTGCCAAGCATTGTGTAATTTTTCAATTGCTGTATTGCCTTTTATTTGTTCAAAAACAAGTCTACCCTCCTCTGATAATTGATCTGTATCACCATCTTGAATTGTTTGAATGATATTTCTAAGTACAAGACAATCTTGAATAATACTCTTGTAAACTTGAGATTGAGGATGTTCTATCATTTGTCCATTAACAAAATTAACTGGTCTAACTATAGGTGGTAGAACTGGTATTACTTCAAAAAAAAATATATCAGTTGGGTATTCAATATCTACCATTCCAAAGCAAGGTGTAAGTACTTTTAAAAAATCTTTCTCATTTTGCCAAAGTTTTCTGAGGTATTCTTTAGATTGATCTGGCATTATCAATACTGTGTCCATTTTATGTATTGTTTTACGTGATCGTGCTGTTGTAGGGATATCAGATGACTGTGATATTTTAGATGTCATAATTTTATTTTTTACTATTGTAATTTTAGAAATAGGTTCTAAACAATTAACGCAAATTTTTGTCGTTGCATATTGCTTAATAACGTTTTCAACATGCGTATGCCATTGCATATTAATATTTTTAGTATTTAATTGAATTTCATCATATTGTATAATAGATTGATTAAGTCTTGGTTTATTCAAAAGGTTTTCAATATAATTATCAATGACATTTTGAACAGATTGTATATCAACTTCATAAGGACTGGTATGATTTAAAACAACAACCATTATTTCTTGTTCTAGACCATCAAGATCACTCAGATATCCTTGCTGAAGTAATTTCAATTTTGCAGAAAGTAACAATTTCACATAAGGTGGAATTTGTAAAGTGAAACAGTTTAAACATGCTAATTTAATCAACATACATAATCCTTTATGGAATAATGGATTTACAACTGACATAGGCAACTCTATATGCCCAAAATGACCTGGACACTTGAATACATTGCATCCACATGTTCCACATGGATCTGAACTTTCCAACAGAGGACCTAATTAATGATAAATAATTAATAAATTATATCTTTCTTCTCCTTTTCCTCCTTCTTAATACATATGAAAATATAAATAATATGTATAATAATTTGTATCATTTCATATATTGAATTTAATTACCTAATGCTGGATCGTATAAACCTCCTTTCAATGGATGTCCCAAAATATTAAATGATAAAGGTGTTCTTATTTTAGTAACACTTAAATTTCTTATGTCATTTGCAGTAAACATAGAAAACATTAAACATTTTGGATCTAGATGTTTTGGAGTTAGACGTGAAGAGTTGTACTTCTGTTGTACCATTTTGACTAATGTTTACTCTTACTTCTTCTTATTTCTAGAAAGAAAGTTTTTAATAATTTTTGGGATAATTTATGTTATCCACAGTTCTTACTTTGAGAAAAATGATTTAAGTAAATCTACTATGAATTACTTATTCTTTATCAATACTAAACATTAACTACATTTATTAAAGCATCTACATGATAATAAATCACATAGGTTATAAAATTTTTAATCACATGGTCGACCACTGTATTAACACGTGCTGTAGACGTGAGTTTAGTCGATAAACTAAAAATCGATAGTTACATGATATATCAATATATTTATCATTGCAGGATATGATTTCGTCCAGAACGACAAGTAACAACTGAAGGCTTGAAATGTAGTTTATTAATAGTTACGTATAAGAGTTGGGAAAATTCGTAACTGCTATAATAATGTTACAAACATTAGAGATTTGCCTCGTATAGTACGTAAATTTTTCAAGAACTTGGGGGAATTTAAACCTCCCGATTTCTTGTTACTAGACAGGTTTAACCAACTAAGTGACGCCATTCGTATAGTGCATACACAATAACCATAGTGTATAATAAAGTATTTACTAATATGTATTTTTATGTTGCGTCGATACTGCTTGATACTCGTTCAATAATGTAAGTTTACAAAATTATATCTGATGAATGTACAAAGTGAATTTTAAAGAAAATATATATCTTGAATACATTGCAAAAATGTTAACTCCGCGTTTTGAAATAACACAAACTGATACAGAAGTTGCAATAATTATTCATGCACCATATGCCAATATCAAAGACACAGAGGTTTATGTTGATGGAACAGATTTTAGATTTTATTCCACACCATATTACTTGAGGTAAATTGAATTGTAAATAGTTCTTTAATGATGATTAATTATTTAATAATGATTATTAACAATATTAATGATATTAATAATAATTAAAAATTTTTAATTTTTTAAATGAAATTTCTTTATTTTAGATTGAAACTACCAGGTGAAATTGAAGAAAATGACTCATCATTTGGCTCATATGATTGCGAAAAGGGAGATTTCTCTTTAAGATTTTCAAAAGTAGAAAAAGGAAAATATTTTGAAAATTTAGATATGATAAGTACATTGTTAACTCCACCGAAAAAGAAGAATACAATTATACCTAATATTGAAGTAATTGGAAATCCATCAGCAAATTCTGAAGATAATAATGATATATCAAATAAGCAAGAGTTTATACCAAATGATGAAAACACTAATGGAGATGAGTGGTATATACATCAAAACAATAGTACAGAAAATGTACCACTTTTATCTACTTCTCCTAAATATGGTTTTGCGAGTAAAATATCTGGAGCCTTAGCTGCTTTTGAGGTATATGCTTTATACATTTTATATTTATGCACACTAAAATTGTGATATAATTTTTTTATTTTTAATTTCAGTCAACATGGGTTAAAGAAATAATAGATCTTCCGATGCCAGATACTGTATCTCAGTCTGAGAGAAGGATGTTACGAGAGAAACATGAAATTTCAGATTTTAACGAGGAACATTATTTGGCAGATCTTATGCAACCAGAATGCATAGAACCATATATCTCATTTATTGCAGAATGGGATACTTTGGAAAAAGAAAATATTTCCTTCAATGAAACTGAAGTAGATTTATTAAAAGAACTTCCAAACAAAGAATATTTATTAAACAATGAAGAAACACACAAGCTGCTTTTAAGTTTAGTGGATATTTTATTTGGTTGTTGTTACAATCACAGAACTACATTAGGAGAAAATACTGTTGAAAGTAGTTGGACTATTAATAAATTAAGTTCCACTTTATGTTGGTTTGATGTATGTAAAGTGTTTGGAGGATCGTTTGGTATTCGTTTTTATTATATTGTCCTATATTTTGTAATATTTTTAGGAGTTTTCTAATTCGGAAGAAGTTATAAAAGCATGTTTTAGAAGATCAATATGTTATCCACTGTTTAGGAATTGGGATCTATCTAAAAAAGTTTTTGAGGATGTAAAAAAGATAATTAAGTTAGGTAAGATGTGCATGAAACACAGATTTATGAAATTATTTTCAATTTTTATGCCTAATCATTAAATTTTTAGGTAAAAAATGTATCATAAAACGTTTCTGTGAAGTACATAGTTTGTTTAACAACTCATATGAACCACGATATATATTAAATCAGTTGTACATAAAAGACTATCTAATTTGGTTACAACAAATTAATGAATCTTTAATAGAATCATTGGAATCTCTTATTTGTAACGTAAGTATAGAAATATTAAATAGTAACTTTATATGAACTATTAATATATGTTCATTTCTTTTAAGGTTGAACCTTCTAAAAATGATATGCAACTTGAATTAGCAGAATTAGAACAAGCAGCTTATTCTGTACAAGAAGAAGATCTTATTATAGAAAATTCTGTTCATGAAATAGTGGACCAAATGGATGAACTAACAGTTAATGACAATGATAAAGATGAGTAAGTATAAAATGTAAAATATGTCATAATTTTTATAAAATTCTTGGGATTCATTGAAAAATATTATATGTCTTTACGTTATATAATTTTATTTTAAAGGCCAAAGACTATATACTACATTAAAGACAAACATTCTTTAAAGTATTTGTAAGTATTTCAATAGAATTGCTTCGAATATATTCCTTAACAAAGCTTTTTCATTCATCTTGTAATAAATGAAATAAATATTTGTATATATTATATATATATATATATATTTTATTTGAAATATACTAATGTAATATACTAACTAAAATGCACATCCCTTTGATGAATTGCATAAATATCGAATTATAAACTTATCATCAGTGATATGTAGCAAAAGAATAACAAATTATATTTGCACATTGCGCATGGAATGCACAGTAAAAAAAATTTAGAACTGTTTTTTTAATAATGCATGTATAAATTATGTTTTATACAGATTATCGAGTAGTTCAAGTTCAAGCGACAGCAGCGATACTGATTCTGAAACTGATTCAGAAAGCAGCACTTCAAGTACCACTACAACAAGTAATAGCAATAGTTTAGATTCAGATGATGCGAGTGAACCAGAAGAAATTACAAATAAGTATACCTAAAAATTTATATTGAACAAAATTTTTATAAAAATAACATTTTTGAAAGTCTTTTTCCTTATAATATGTAAGTGAAACTTTACGATTTTACCTTATGTGTTCATAAAAATATTTATACTTATATATACACTATACGTGAAATAGTGTATAGAATATAAAAAAATACACAAATAAGATTCGTTATTGTGTCCACTTTACAATCATATGTAATTGTATGATTATATATGTATGATAAACATGCAACATGTGTATTATTTTTATGATAATATTCGTGTTTATCATAAATATTGTGATTCTTTTGTTAAACAATGTAATAGATCCATGTCAATAATTTACTATAATGTTCGATCAATCTTTGTTGCGTAAAATCATCCAAATTATTATTATTTTTAATATTCATATCTGAATCAATTGCATCGATATCGCTTGGTCTTTCATTATTGAAAATATTGTTAATAATACTTCCCGTATCCTCTGCCTAAAATATTTTACAGAATTCGTTATGTGTAAATAAAAAATGTATATGCTGAGGACAAATTTCAAAATATCGTTACCGTAACGTAATCATAATCTGTAAGTTCTGCATTTTCGTTTTTATTATTCAATTCATTTCCGTCGATAGTTTGCCAATAGTCTGCAACCTCTCCATATACTCCTGGACTTTCGTTTACATTATGCACGTATTCAGCCAACGTTCTATCGTTTAATATCTCAGAATCTGATTTTTTTAATGCTGTAGGCTTATTGTTTTTTAATAATTAAAAAGGATCTAATATGTCGTTAGAAGAAACGATTATTATATTCACTATACATACGGTACCTCTTGATCAGAAGTTGTACTCTTACTATTAAAATGATCATGGTAATTAAGACTTCCTGTGTTTAGAACTAAGTGCGTATATTTTGTCAACGTTCCATTTTCTTCGTGTAAATGTGGCGCGTATAATATAATACGTAAAGGTATACTTTCATCGTTTGAACTTTGTAGCTCCTCAGCTTTAGCACTCTCATTTACAGCTGAGTAACATGTGAAATAAAGATTTGTGAGAATTTTTAAATCCAATATTAATTAATAATATTTAATATTTAATACCTTCATGTTCTTCCATTCTCATGTTTTCTAAACTAATGTTCGATTCATTCTGAAAGTTTTTGTTATGCTTTCTTAAGTCAGTATTCGTAAATGAAACGTCATTATTACCATTTACATGTTTATTAGAAAAAATGCAATCTTGTCTTTCACTGTACACTTCGGTTGTTGTGAGATTCGATATTATAGTTGGTATCGGAGTTTGTTCTTGTTCCAATGGTACTTCAGGAGTTACTTCAATATTCTTATCGGTAAAAAAAATGTCTCGTACATTGTCATTGTTTTTCATGTTTTCTGTAGTTCGTATCGTTGATACTTCAGTTGTAATATCATGAGCCGTACTTTCATGCACGTCTGCGTTAAAAGAAGCGATAGTACTCGTATTATTATCATCCTCAACCTGTTTTAATTCTTCCGAAGATACTTTTATAGTTTCTAAATACTCGGAAAATACTCTGTCTGTCTGCTTATCAAGATTTTCATCTACTTTTGTTTCATCTGAATTGATAGTTTTTAGGAGGTATTCTTCATAATCCATCGAATCGCGTACCGTTGATGATTGTCCCTATTCATCAACAAATAAATAATTCCCGTTTATATTTACACATTTCTGTTTTAATCAAATTTGATTAGAATTTGAATAAAGAATTACAATACTATTGTTAGAATGTTTACTGAATCCTTCTTACATAGCAAGGACCACAGGGATCTTCCTTATATGTGGAGAGAATGGCCGCTTTAACATAAGGGAAATGTAGTATACTCCAGGGTACTATGATTTGATAAGTTACTTTACCGCAGCTGTAATAATTCATGCTTCAAATTGTAAAAGTTCGTTTTATACATTTTACCTAATAAAGCTTGTTATAATTACAAGTTGATCGTATTATCAAAATTTAATGATCGAATTCTCACCGATCGATAATGACTACTTCGTCTTTTGATGCATGAAAACTTTTCCAGATACCCAACTCGGAAGTATCTTCAAGAAGAATGATGCCCTTCTTCTTTTTTTTCATGTCACCGAACAACGTTTCTACCGAGTCCAAGGAATACTCGAACTCCTGTGTATTTTTAGATATTTCCCTCCACGCTTTTATCTCTATATTGTTCTCTGTGCTGTCTTCCAGCAAATCTGACGGCGGCGTTACCATGAAGAAGAAGATATTTGAAAAGCCGGACTTCTCTAATCGGTTCTTCAACGATGCCAACCTTGTGCCAAATGATTTTCACAAATATCACTTCAACGAACTTTATTATTTAAGTTTATATTACTTTATAAAAAATATGATTTCATTTCAGCTCTGAAACTAAACTTAGCGATTCTTATATTTATATCACGTACGAGAAAATTGAAGTGGATATATTGAAAAATTGTAAATATTAAAAAGTGAAATTCTACGTAAACACGAATACAAATATCATTAAATATCATTAATCGATATTATTCTGTACTCAACGACTTACATGATTGCTTGCCGGTAACTATAATACCAAGAAGGATCCAAAAACGCGAACACATTTACTTGTCCCAACTGTTCCTTCCGGAGATTCGTGGCACGACATTGCTCGATATATCCTCCATTCTCTCGTAGTTCTTTCGTTTGGCGGAAGTGACGAGGGACATTCAATAATCGGAGGACTCCATCCTTTTCGTAAGCTCCGTAACTTCCAACTGTTATCATAATAATCGTGATCACAATCGAAATCGACATAATTCGTTCACTTTCTGCCACAGAACCAAGTTTAAAAATCTTTGGCGAAGATCGTTCCATCGACTGCTAGAAACAGAACGAGACGCATGCATATAAAAGCGAAATGTCGACAACTACTTCGTAATACTTGCACATCCGTGTAAACGATATAGAATTAATAATCAACGCAAGTGATTTCGCGTATTCGTTATCTGAAGCCCGATAAAATAATGGAGAATGGTGACAACGAAACGACGAGAGTACCGAATACATTGAATCATCGTACGATCGTTGCCGGTCGATGTGTGCGCGTGGACTCTCACGATATATCTCGGCCAGAAAAATCAATTTACGTCGCATTGATGCGATATGTATGCGGGTCACACGGAAACTGTAAACCTTTTTCTGACCTCACATGCTGTTGTCGCGGTCCACCGTTCAACATTTCTCCTACACGTTAAGACCGAGCTCTGTAACTTTAGAAAACTTCGCACAGTATATATTCATAGCGTACTTTATCTATTGCGAGAATAAGTTGTTCATCTCTCTCGAGCTTTCGAACACCTTTTCGAATCGTTTTTTTGAATTACGAAATTCAGTAGGCTTGCGATTTCGGTTTTATGGGTAAGTTACACAACAAGTGATGTAACATGTAACAAATAACATGATGCGGTCGATTGACTATTATTTCGTTAATAAGTCGAACATCCGTCAAGATCAGTCGATGAAATGTGAACACGTGTGCATGGTACAAGTTGAACAGAGAGTCCCTTGTTCTCAACTTTTCAAAGCGTGGTTTTGTACGATTTAGATGCTCGTTCACTATCAGTAGCAGTTCAGCTTAAAGTATCGACGGTCAATCTTCCGATCTTTCATCAATATTAATTGAAATTTTGAAAAATTGTTGTTTTGAATTATCGAGACACTCTCGTCGTTCAAAATTTTGTAGCTATACCACTGGTGGTAGTTCGTAAATTAAAAAAAGAAATTAGAACCTAGATATTTCGTATGATATGTGTAAGCGTCGAAGGAAAGGATTCTGTAAAAACATCACGAGTAAGAATTGGATTTTTTGAAATTGAAAAGATTCGTTTTCGCCCGCGATTATGTCCTGAAAATTTAATGTTAGAAATTTTATGCGAATGTTATTTGTTAACATGATCAATTCAGTCGTGAGAATATGCACGTTAATTTGGTTGTCATTGTGCTTGTTAACTACGATTGTATTTTTCAACGAGATTAGTCGATTGAACATAGAGTTGCAGAATTTTGGACTATTTGAAAGAACCGAGTACAATTTTAAACATAAGAGAAGCACAGATCGGCAGGAATTAAACGCCAGCTTGGACAACGTTGAGAAAACATTCAGGAAGAAAGCCGACGCTTTGTCATACCTTTTAAAAGTTGACATCGATCGTTTGAGAAACGAAACCGATCAGGTAATACAGGAAATTTTACAAGTAAATTTTATTTAATTTAGAATTAGAAATAAAATAATGCTATTGACGTCAAACTTTCTTTGTTAATTTAAATTCGAAACTTTTGATAGGTGGAATTGATATTTCTGGTCGATGCTTCAGGATCAGTTGGTTTGAAAAATTTTCAAAGCGAATTAAATTTCATAAAACACCTTTTAGCCGACTTCTCTGTGGAGCCTTCTGCAACTAGAATCGCGATCGTAACGTTCGGTGGAAGAAGACACATTAAACGAAATGTAGATCAGATATCTCATACCAGTGACAATGATAACAAGTGTTATTTGTTGAATAAACAGTTAAATAATATTAATTACACTGGCGGTGGAACATATACGCGAGGCGCGCTTTTGGAAGCTCTTGTAAGTTTTTTTTTCTTTTAATTTCACTCTTACTTTCTTTATAAATTAGATTCAAGATTATATTAAATATTAATTGTTACAATATGATTGTTATGTTAAGTATTGTATTAAATCAAACATCGACATATACATTCAAATTTCGATCATACTGTTAGAGAATACTTGAGAAAGGCAGAGCGAACGCAAGCAAGGCTGTGTTTCTTATAACCGACGGATTTAGCAACGGCGGTGATCCACGACCTGCGGCGAATCTTCTGAAAATTGCAGGCGCAACGATATTCACTTTCGGAATAAGAACAGGAAACGTTGACGAGCTGCGCGACATAGCTAGTTTTCCAGGAGACACGCACAGCTATTTCCTCGATAGTTTCGTGGAATTCGAGGCTTTAGTACGACGAGCTCTGCATCGTGGTGAGTGTACGAAATTGGCAAAGTCTGAAGAAATTTAAGAAATAAAATTTCATCGAGTATTTAATTTAGGTAGTGTATCAATAGAATTAACACTAAAAGTACCAAGCGGAGTCAAATGACCCGTTTTCAAAATTTACTTTAAAATCGTACATTCGTTGTTA